ATGTGAAAACGCTCCACAGTTACAGCTGCCGTACGCTTTTACACGAGCCCGAACCATCTCCACGCAACATAAACCCCCCATAAACACTGACCTTTATCTCCGTCCTCTGCATCACGCCGTCACAGCGTCACACCGTCACGGACCGCGGGACGAGAGGAGCGAGAGGAAAGAGGAAAGAGGGATGAGGTGTCACCTTTTATTGTCCCCGTTGGGAGATTTGTCCTCAGCATTTGACCCAGACTTCAGTGCAGACTTATGCCGCTTTCGGGTAAATGTCGGCAGTGGATAAATCCGAGTCACTTCCTCCGACGTCGACTCAATTATGTCTCAAGTTTGATTTTTACATGTTCGGAAAAAAAAAAAACTGGTGTTACTCGTGTCGAATGATGTGAAAGGAAGAGTAAACGAAGACACTTTCTCTGCACAAACACAACTGAACACATCAAAATGAAGAAAAGATAATTCTCTTCGTTTACTGTGAGCGCCGACGTTTTTGCCGTGACGTAAATAAAACAGAACTAACTCGAATTTGTGTTTCAGAACCTCGATTTGATTGTCGTTTCATTGCACTTTTTTGAGGTGGAGGTTGTTTTTTTTGTTTTTTTCCAGTCTTTTTTTTTTTTCTGTGTGTTGTGTTTTTTTTGTTTGTTTTTTTTGTTTTGTTTGGTGTTTTTTTTTTTTTTTTATTTAGTCCTTGTAGTGTAGCCCTGGTTTAGACCTGGTTTACCCCTGGTTTATCCCTAGTTTAGACCTGATTTAGTCTTGGCTTAGTCTTGGTTTAGTCCTGGTTTAGCTCTTGTTTAGTCTTGGTTTAGACAATCCTTGTTTAGCCCTGGTTTAGTCCTGGTTTAGACCTTGCTTAATCTTGGTGTAGCTCCTGTTTAGACTTGGTTTAGTCCTGGTTTAGTCCTAGTTTAGCTTTCGTTGAGATCTGGTTTAGTCCTGGTTAAGTTCTTGTTAAGTCCTAGTTTACCCCTGGTTTAGTCCTAGTTCAACTTTCGTTTAGACCTGGTTTAGTTCTGTTTTAACCGTTGTTTATCCTTAGTTTAGACCTGATTTAGTCTTGGTTTAGTCCTGGTTTAGCTCTCATGTAGACCTGTTTTAATCCTAGTTTAGCTCTTGTTTAGCCCTGGTTTAGTCCTGGTTTAGTCCTAGTTTGGCTCTTATTTAGCCTGGTTTAGTCCTGTTTAGTCTAGTTTAGCTTTGTTAGATCTGGTTTAGTCTTGGTTTAGTTCTTGTTTATACCTGATTTAGACCTGGGTTTTAGTCTCTTGTTTAGCTCCTGCTTTAGCTCTGGTTTAGTCCCAGTTTAGTCCTGATTTAGTCCTAGTTTAGCTCTTATTTAGCTCTGGTCTAGACCTGGTTTAGTCTTGGTTTAGTTCTTGTTTAGCCCTGGTTTTAGACCTGGTTTAGCCCTGGTTTAGTCCTGTTTTAGTCCTATTTTAGTCCTAGTTTAGCTCTTATTTAGACCTGGTTTGGGTCTTGTTTTGTCTTGGGTTAGTCCTGGTTTGGTCCTGGTTTGGTCCTGGTTTGGTCCTGGTTTAGACCTAGTTTAGACCTAGTTTAGTCTAAATGATCCAAAAACTTTACTCTACACCTTCACAATCCTGGCTCGATGTTCCGTAGTCTCTTTACACTCTTACTGTGTTTTGATAGCGCTCTGAAGGGGGAGTGACTTAGCGTGGAGAGCTGGAACACGCCGGTCTAAACGTGTTCCGTGTTTAACCGTTAATCGCTCGTCTTTAACATTTGCCGCCCGACAAAAAAAAAGAGACAAAAACAGGAGGCGCGCGAGGTTTTTCCCACAGATCCACGATTCAACGAGCCACAAAGAAAATGTGTTTTTAAAATAGTGAAATAACGGGTTTAAAATCGTTGGTTCATTTTTCAATTAAGCGTCGGCCGCGTGTTTGTGCGTCGGGACAAAAGCTCCATTATCAGAGCTGCTCTTGTGCGAGTCGACTGTGGGCGAATGACGTTCCTCCTCCTCTCAAAGACGCTTAATTGGTGCTTTTAAAACAACTCTGTGTTTAATCCATTTGTGAACGTCCAAATGAACTTACCAGAGGGTTTTATTTTATTTTTTTTTTTTATATTTATTATGTGGATTTTTATTTATTATTTATTTTTTTTTTGAGTTTCTGGGAGATTTGTCTTGTTCCAGTACAGATGTTTATTGTATAAGCAACTCCTGACGTCTAAATACTTTGACTGTTTTTTGTTTTTTTTTTTATTTTATTTATTGACATTTTCAGTTTAGAAAAAAAAAAAAAAAAAAAAAACTGTGACGTGAAGGAGAAACTGGTGCCAAATAATCATTATAATACAATAAAATACATTAAATTAAATAAACAAAAATAATAAATAATACATTTAAATTTAAGTTCTGTATGACTTACATGACAAAAACATGTAAATAAAGTAGTTTAATAATAATAATAATAACATAAAAAAATAATAATATATATATATATATATATATATATATATATATATATATATATATATATATACAACAATGACAACAACAACGATGACAACTACTACAACAACTACACAATTACTATACAACTACTACTACTACTAACTACTACTACTACAACAACTACTGACTACTACTACTACTTCAACTACTACTAACAACAACTACTACTACTACTACTACTACTTCACACTAACTACTACTAACTACTACTACTACAACTACTACAACTACTACTACTACTACTACAAACTACTACTACTACTACTACAACTACTACTAACTACTACTACTACTAACTACTAACTACTACTACTACAACTAACTACTACTACTACTACTACAACTACTACTACTACTACAACTACTACTACTACTACTACTACTACAACTACTACTACTACTAACTACACTACTACTACTACTACTACTACTACTACTACTACTACTACTACTACTAACTACTACTACTACTACTACTACTAACAACTACTACTACTACTACTACTACAACACTACTACTACTAACTACTACTACTACTACTACAACAACTACTACTACTACTACTACTACTACTACAACTAACTACTACTACTACTACTACTACTACTACTACTACTACTACACTACTACTACTACTACTACTACTACTACTACTACTTACACTACTACTACTTACTACTAAACAACTATCACTACTACTACTACTAACAACTACTACTACTACTACTTACTACTACTACTACTACAACTACTACTACTACTACTACTACTACTACTACTACTACAACTACTACTACTACTACACTACTACTACTACTACTACAACTACTACTACTACTACTACTACTACTACTACTACTACTACTACTACTACTACTACTACTACTACTACTACTACTACACTACTACTACTTCACACACTACTACTACTACTACTACTACTAACAACTACTACTACTACAACTACTACTACTACTACTACTACTACTACAACTACTACTACTACTACTACTAACAACTACTACTACTACTACTACAACTACTACTACTACTACTACTACTACTAACTACTACTAACTACTACTACTACTTCTAACAACTACTACTACTACTACTACTACTACTACTACTACTACTACTACTACAACTACTACTACTTACTACTACAACTACTACTACTACTATACTACAAACTACTACTACTACTACTACTACTACACTACTACTACTACTACTACAACTACTACTACTACTACTACTACTACTACTACTACTACTACTACTACTACTACTACTACTACTTCAACTACTACTACAACAACAGCAGCTTAGCAGTACTTTGAGAGAAGTGGCCAGTGAAGTGAAAGAAATGACTGGAAAAAAAAAAAGTTTATATTATATAGTGTTAATATATAATATTTATATTAAATATTTATTTAAATATATAATATTTAACACTAATATCACAGGCTACAGTGTGAATTTCCTTTAATAATATAGTGATATTTTATTTACTTTATTGCACCTAAACAAAGTTATGTTTTCTACACATGGAAACAAAATTAAATACGATGTAATGAAAATGAAAATGATAATAACGTTAAAATCAAATATTAAATCCAAGTTTATTCAATCATCTAACGTAAGTGTTCTGCAAATCAAAGACTCACATGTCGATGTTTAACGGGTCAAAACAGACAATAAAACCAAAACAGTTTTAAAATGTGACTCAAATCGACGACATTTAAACTGGAACAGGGTCGAAGAACTTTGGACGACTTCAAACCGTTTCAAATGATCCAGTTCTGTACGAATAAAGTCAGAAGAGAGTTTTTGTCGTGTTTATTTACATGAGTTGTGTTTGTTTGTTTGTTTGTTTTTTGACCTGATTTAGACCTGGTTTAGACCTGATTTAGTCCTGGTTTAGACCTGATGTAGACCTGATTTAGTCCTGGTTTAGACCTGGTTTAGCCTGGTTTAGACTGGTTTAGACCTCCTGGTTTTAGACCTGGTTTAGACCTGGTTTAGGGTTTTTAGGTTACCTGACCTGGTGATTTAGTCCTTGTTTTAGGTTTAGACCTGATTTAGTCCTATTTAGTCCTTGGGTTTAGTCCTGATTTAGTCCTTTTAGTCCTGGTTTAGACCTGGTTTAGTCCTTTTAGGTTTAGTTTGGTCTTTTTAGTCCTGGTCCTGGTTTAGTCCTGTTTGGTTTTAGTCCTGGTTTAGTCCTGGTCCTGATTTAGTCCTGGTTTTTAGTCCTTTGTCCTGATTCTGGTTTAGACCTGATTTAGTCCTTTTAGTCTGATTTAGTCCTGGTTTAGTTTTTGGTTTAGTCCTGGTTTTTCCTGTTTAGTCCTGTTTTATTTTAGTCCTGAGTTGTTGTCCTGTTTGTTTGTTTGTTTTTCCTGGTTTAGTCCTGTTTTAGTCCTGTTTAGTCCTGGTTTAGTCCTGTTTTTTATGTTTATTTACTTGAGTTTGTTTGTTTGTTTGTTTGTTTGTTTGTTTTTTTTGCAGAGGTCATAATCAGAGGATGGAGTTTCTGGGAGATTCGATCATGCAGCTTGTGGCCACTGAGTATCTGTTCATCCACTTCCCCGATCACCACGAGGGACATTTAACTGTGAGTCTGTTTATGGTTTAAATATGACTCATCTGCTGTAATGTTCACAGTAATACAGTGCGCTGTTTGCATGCTAGTTGTTGTTCGTTAGAAAAGCTCTTGTAAACTGATCTGGGTGAGTGAGGAAGATGCTCAGAATGTACGAAGTGAAAAATAACTTGTTTAGTCTGGGATTACTTTTTAGGCCTGGTTTAGTTCTTGTTTAGACCTGGTTAAGACCTGGTTTAGACCTTTTTTACTCCTGGTTTAGTCCCGGTTTAGACCTGGTTTGGACCTGGTTCAGTCCTGGTTTAGTCCTGGTCTAGTCCTGGTTTAGTCCCTGGTTTAGTCCTGGTTTAGTCCTGGTTTAGTCCTGGTTTAGTCCTGGTTCAGTCCTGGTTCAGTCCTGGTTTAGTCCTGGTTCTTAGTCCTGGTTTAGTCCTTGGTTCAGTCCTGGTTTCAGTCCTGGTTCAGTCCTGGTTTAGTCCTGGTTTAGTCTCTTGTTTAGTCCTGGTTCAGTCCTGGTTTCAGTCCTGGTTTAGTCCTGGTTTAGTCTCTTGTTTAGTCCTGGTTCAGTCCTGGTTCAGTCCTGGTTCAGTCCTGGTTCAGTTTTAGTCCTGGTTTAGTCTGGTTGTCTGGTTTAGTCCTGGTTTAGTCCTGGTTTAGTCTGTTTCCTGGTTCAGTCCAGTCTGGTTTAGTCCTTGGTTTAGTTCTGGTTTAGTCCTGGTTTAGTCCAGTCCTGGTTTAGTCCTGGTTTAGTCCTGGTTCAGTCCTGGTTTAGTCCTGGTTTAGTCCTTGGTTCAGTCCTTGGTTTAGTTCCTGGTTTAGTCCTTGGTTTAGTCCTGGTTTAGTCCTGGTTTAGTCCTGGTTTAGTCCTGGTTCAGTCCTGGTTCAGTCCTGGTTCAGTCCTTGGTTTAGTCCTTGGTTTAGTCCTGGTTTAGTCCTGGTTTAGTTTAGTCCTGGTTTAGTCCTTGGTTCAGGTTTAGTCCTGGTTTAGTCCTTGGTTCAGTCCTGGTTTAGTCCTGGTTTAGTCCTTCGTATAGTCCTGGTTCAGTCCTGGTTTAGTCCTGGTTCAGTCCTGGTTTAGTCCTGGTTCAGTCCTGGTTTAGTACTTGGTTCAGTCCTGGTTTTAGTCCTGTTTAGTTTAGACCTGGTTTAGTCCTGGTTTAGTCCTGGTTCAGTCCTGGTTCAGTCCTGGTTTAGTCCTGGTTCAGTCCTGGTTTAGTCCTGGTTCAGTCCTTAGTCCTTGGTTTAGTCCTGGTTTAGTCCTGGTTTAGTCCTGGTTTAGTCCTGGTTTAGTAGTCCTGGTTCGGTTTAGTCTTCTGGTTTAGTCCTGGTTTAGTCCTTTTAGTCCTGGTTTAGTCCTGGTTTAGTCCTGGTTTTAGTCCTGGTTTAGTCCTGGTTTAGTCCTGGTTTAGTCCTGGTTTAGTCCTGGTTCAGTCCTGGTTTAGTCCTGGTTTTAGTCCTGGTTTTGTCCTTTTAGTCCTGGTTTAGTCCTGGTTTTAGTCCTGGTTGGTTTAGTCCTGGTTTTAGTCCTTTTAGTTTAGTCCTGGTTGTCCTTGTCCTGGTTTAGTCCTTGGTTTTAGTCCTGGTTTTAGTCCTGGTTCAGTCCTGGTTTAGTCCTGTTTAGTCCTGGTTTAGTCCTGGTTTAGTCCTGGTTTATTCCTGGTTTAGTCCTGGTTTTCCTGGTTTAGTCTGGTTTAGTCCTGGTTTCCTGGTTTCCTGGTTTAGTCAGTCCTGGTTTAGTCCTGGTTTAGTCCGTCTGGTTTAGTCCTTGGTTTCTTGGTTCCTGTCTGGTTTAGTCCTGGTTTAGTCCTGGTTTAGTCCGTGGTTTAGTCCTGGTTAGTTTGGTTTCCTGGTTTCCTTGGTTCAGTCCTGGTTTAGTCCTGGTTCAGTCCTGGTCCCGGTTCTAAACTCCTGACCTCGTCCGTCACTTTTGTCCATTAGTGTTTTTCTTTTTTTTCCGGTCCTGGACTCACGGGGAAAGTCCGGACCCTTTTCCATCAAACTCTTTTTACAAATGTATTTTTATTTCCATGTGATTCCGAGGACGACGTCTCAGCACGACAAATCTCCTCATATTTTATTCCATTTGCTCTTTTCCCGTTTCCGAGCTAAATTTAAACCATTTTCTTGTTTTTCCCGTCTGTGTAAATGCTCCAGTTCGTTTTGTAAAATTTATCAGTCTTTCTCTTTCTGTATCTGATGAATTATTCCTTCTGCCGTTGCTTTTTTCCATCTTTCTGTTTGTTTTTCTCTAACTGTCCTAAACAAATACAGTGAATGGAAAAAACAGACGTGTCTTACAGAAAATAATCGAGACCTGCGCCGTGTCCAGGGCCGATCGGTTTACGCGTAAAGTCTACGGAGGAGGCGCGTCTCGGCCTTTTGGTCCTTTCAGAAATTTAAAGTTTCGGTGAAATTTGCCGCATCGACACTTTTCAAGTGTTTAGACCTGGTTTAGTCCTGGTTTAGTCCTGGTTTAGACCTGGTTTAGTCCTGGTTTAGACCTGGTTTAGTCCTGGTTTAAACCTGGTTTAGTCCTGGTTTAGTCCTGGTTTAGACCTGGTTTAGTCTTGGTTTAGTCCTGGTTTAGTCCTGGTTTAGTCCTGGTTTAGTCCTGGTTTAGACCTGGTTTAGTCTTGATTTAGACCTGATTTAGTCCCAATTTCAACCTGGTTTAGACCTGGTTTAGTTCTGGTTTAGACCTGGTTTAGACTAATTTCGACCTGGTTTAGACCTAGTTTTTTTTTAGTCCTGGTTTAGACTTGGTTTAGTCTTGTTTAGTCTGGTTTAGTCTGGTTTTTAGACCTGATTTAAGTCCTGATTTAGACCTGATGTAGACCTGATTTAGTCCAGGTTTAGACCTGGTTTAGACCTGGTTTAGACCTGGTTTTAGACCTTTTAGTCCTGATTTAGACCTGTTTTAGACCTGGTTTAGACCTGATTTAGACCTGGTTTAGACCTGATTTAGTCCTGATTTAGACCTGATGTAGACCTGATTTAGTCCTGTTTTCCTGATTTAGTCCTGGTTTAGACCTGGTTTAGACCTCGGTTTAGTCTTGGTTTAGTCCTGGTTTAGTCTTGGTTTAGTCCTGGTTTAGACCTGGTTTAGACCTGGTTTAGTCTGATTTAGACCTGATTTAGTCCCAATTTCAACCTGGTTTAGACCTGGTTTAGTTCCTGGTTTAGTCCTGGTTTAGACCTGGTTTAGACCTGATTTAGTCCTGATTTTTAGACCTGATTTAGTCCAGGTTTAGTCCTGTTTTAGACCTGATTTAGTCCTGATTTAGACCTGATTTAGTCCTGATTTAGTCCTGATTTAGTCCTGAGTTTAGTCCTGGTTTTAGTCCTGGTTTAGTCCTGGTTTAGTGGTTTAGACCTGGTTTAGACCTGGTTTAGACCTGGTTTAGTCCTGGTTTAGTCCTGGTTTAGACCTGAAATAGTGAAATGAGAATAGTTTCTTATCCAATATTTTTACAGCTTTTTTTTTAAAAAAAGTGGTTGAATTGATCTGTCATATTTACACTGCAGTTTTGTAGATGTTCATTAATATGCACTGTTCCTATTAAATAAATCAATAAATCAATAAATAAAATAAAAATCAATAAATAAAATAAAAATCAATAAAAAAAATAAAGTAAAATAAAAATCATTAAAATAAAATAACATAAATAACATGAAATAAAAAATAATAAAACAATTTATTAAAAAATTAATAAAAAAAATAATAAAATCCATGTGGTTTTGCAAGACTCTGAATGAGACAGAATCATGGAGTGTAAAAACATCTGTGCCGCTTATAGAGTCAACGTGAAATGTACACAGACGTCGATATTAAATCAAATAAACACAAATGTACAGGCAGACGGACGAGGGACACAGACGTCTCCAACAAGAAAACAAACGAGGTCCATATTTTTGGTAAATAATGAAGGTGCAATATGAAAAGTGCAGAGGGATGAAAGAACAGCATGAATACAGAAGATATGAAGTTGTTTTGAATGTAAGATGAAAATTTAATATTTTGTTGTTTTTTTTTTGTAATTTGTATTATTTACGTAAAACAAATCAAAAATAGAACCAGGTGCAGTGACTTTGTTCAAAACTGAAACTCCAACGTTTCATGATGGGATTTTATATCAAGCATCATTTTTATTTACGTGTTTTTCCTTTTTAAAAATGGTTTAGTCCTGGTTTAGTCCTGGTTTAGACCTGGTTTAGTCCTGGTTTAGACCTGGTTTAGTCTGTCCTGGTTTAGTCCTGGTTTAGACCTGGTTTAGAACTGTTTAGTCCTGGTTTAGTCCTGGTTTAGTCCTGATTTAGTCCTGGTTTAGTCCTGATTTAGTCCTGGTTTAGTCCTGGTTTAGTCCCTGGTTTATTAGTCCTGGTTTAGTTTTTAGTCCTGGTTTAGTCCTGTTTGTTTCCTGGATTTAGTCCTGGTCCTGATTTAGTCCTGGTTTTAGTCCTGGTTTAGTCCTGTTTAGTCCTGGTTTTAGTCCTTGTTCCTGATTTAGTCCTGGTTTAGTCCTGGTTTAGTCCTGATTTAGTCCTTGTTTGGTCCTGGTTTAGTCCTGATTTAGTCCTGATTGTCCTGGTTTAGTCCTGTTTTAAACCTGGTTTAGTCCTGTTTTTTATTTTTATTTACATGTTTTTCCTGTTTTAAAATGTCTACGTGACATTTTTTAACTCAGAATTTTTAAATAATCACATGTATTTACAGAGAAGTGGGCGGGGACAGGTGATAAGTGAAAACCAACCTGGACAAACTCGGACAGATCGCCTGAAGTCCAGCTCGCGTCGACCTTGAGCCGCGTTTTCAGTATTAATAAATAATTAAAAAGAATTAACCAAAATACCAGAGTGAAATTAACGGCTCAATCTGATTAAAATTCTTGTGATATTTGTTGAACTT